TATCTGTAAAAATGGAGACACTGCAACTGTTTTTGCAATACCTGTGTGAAAAGTGCTGTGTAAGTTCTATTAGTAATCCTTATTATCATTGATTTGTGGAAAAATTAGATGTTGGTGTTCCAGTTTTTCAGATGAGCACTCCCCGACAGGTCTTGTTGTGAGCAAGGTTCAGCAAGCATGGAGGCAGGAAATGTTGAGGATATGGCAAGACGTACATTTTCTATTTTCGGTGTGCAATGTTGCTTAACAGTTGGTTCCGCTGGCAGCCCACACACTGCCAGCCTCCTGACCTCCTTTTGTTTTTAGCTGTCAGCTACTATTGTGACGTTCCCTCATGGAACACCCTATGTGCGATGCAATATGTCTGCTTTATAGTAACAGAGGGTATCTATCACCTGAGGGATTCCATTGCTGAAGAACTAAAAGCAAGATTGTCTGGGCTTTCTGAGCATTGCACCAACTACACAAGAGGAAGTCTTATGCAGCCTACAACTTACTGCTTAATCCTGCTCATGTTAGTATGGCACCAGATAAGGAAGGACAGGTCCTACAATTACTCAGCTGTAACCAAAGATATATTTTTAATCAAGATTATTATAGTATTAGAATAGTCACACTGTAATTAATTTATAGAGAACACATCCCTACAGTCTATGTGACTGCTATTAAAATATTGTTAATTCTGTCAAAGCCATCCCATTAGATAGCACGATATTGCCATAGGCTAAGAAGTGTTGAGCGCAGTAGTATTTGACTCTGCTATTTCCACAGAAATAACATATTTATGAAACATGTGGGGGGCCTTGGTCAACACAATATTATAACAGGCTTCCAGATTTGTTAATATAGGATTAGGTTGGCATTATTTCCACATTAAAGCCAACTGACTTCAAAGAATCAAAATCTGTATCGTCATTAACTATCTTTTGGGGGCGGGGGGGAATGCTTTGCAATGTGACCTGAAGGTAAATAAAGTCAGCCACTGGGAGTCAGATTCAAAAAGGTGCTGAGGCATTATGTTGCAATGCCTCTTCTTACATGCATGAAACTCACTGGGAGTCACAAAGCCTGAGTTAGACCCCATACAGTGAACGAGGAGAGGCAGGTATGACACAGCTATAGGACAGTTGGGGCAGCTGCCCCAAAGCATGAGGCCTGTTCATCCTTTGGACAGGACAGCACTGATGTCACAGTTTCAGTATAACCACACATGATTTCCCCCCTCCGTTTAAAGTATCCTGTTCCCAGCCATTGTCTCTCTGGAAGGAGGGGGGAAAGGGGTAGAGCCAGAGGTGACATGTGGGGTCAGGTCACCAACCAGAGTTTTTGTTTGGCTTCTCCTGATCATGCTCAAACAGACTGGGCATTGTTCAGGAACATCTGCTGAAGTCACTTCCTTCATTCTGCCTCCCCCCTCACTCTTGGCATGTACAGGCCATCTCTGGGTGAGGAACCTTCTCTCTGCCTTCTAACCAGGAATTAAGGCCACACAGCTGCCTTAAGGCATGTCTACCCTACAGAGTTATGTCAGCTTATGTTCGGTTGCTGACAGCTCAATGATGGTCACTCATAGGACAATGTGGCTCATGTCCCCACTACCCTCCTTCTGTTGGTGCTGTGTGTCCTCACCTGGAGTGCTTCCACCGACTGAAGAGGTACAGTGTAGGGACTGTAAGCCAGAGCCCCGGCTGTGAGTGGGCAGCCAGGGGCAGCCAGACTCTGGCTGCCCAGCTTTCTTGTCAATTTCACAGCTCTTCTATGGAGCCCTGAAATTGACAAGACAACCAGCAGTCAATGCAAGTAAGGCAGTGACTACACAGACACGGTGTCGCCCTACACTGACAGTAATGCTGTGCCTCTCATGGAGATGGAGTTATATCAGTATAGCCAGGCACTTACATTGGCAGAACAAGGCTGTAGTGCACACATTGATGTAATTAGGACAGTGTAAGCTGCCTTACATAAACTTAACTATGTAGTGAAGACCAGGCCTTATGCTGTGATACCCCCAGCAAGCAAGTCTGCTTAACAGCCAGTACCTGTTCATTGCGTTCTCTCTAAGGGCTATACCCATGTATTGCCAGTAGTTATCAGTAGCCACTTTCTACGCAACTTCATTTATTCTTATGGTTAAAAGGTTGCACAGAAACCATACATAAAAACAATAAAAGTCCATGTATACATGCTGAAAGTTTGCCACCCATCTTGGGGAGCCCTAATAGGCCAAAGTCTTTCCAACACTTCTGCAAGATTTGCCCCATCCCTGCACTTGCCCAGACAATCCTGTCTATTTGCCAGGTCAGAAAAAAGGCGCCACATTAATTTAAACCGATGTTTCTTAAACTGTGTTCCGATGTGCCATGAGGCAGTTGGAGGTTTGCCACAGAGAACAACAGAGTTCAAAATGGCCACCCTTACAGGGGCAGGTGACTTTTTTTTCCCCTCAATAACTTCCCTCCCACAAGCCTTTTTTTTGGGAAGGGGAGGAAAAAATAACTCCCCCCCCCCTACACACACACACCTTTTTTGTTTGTTTGGTTTTGCTCTACAAAAAATCTTGGTGTTCCTTATTAAAAAAAATATTGTTTGGTGTTGCTCGGTCTTAAAAAGTTTAAGAAACACTGGGTTAAACTTACACTTTTTATTTTTTGTTGGGCTCTGGAAAACCCAGCTTCAATTTGTATAGGTCAGCCTCCCCCAAAAGTGGCATCTCTCTGGAAGTGATTCATCTTAATTATCCCAGCCTATTTCTAGTTCCAGTAGCATCGTTGGAGTTACACACATCACTAGCCCACATTGTTATGTAAACCATTCAGACATTCATCACCAAATGCTTCCCACCACTAATGTGTACAGTTGCAACATGTGTCACAGATGCAGAGAGTTTGAATTGGGTCTCCCACAGCCTGACTAAGTTTTCTAACCACTGGAATAAGTTATAAAATATACACTTCCTTCTCCTGAATTCTTAATGGGTCCTAAGTGGGTTAGGTGGTGGAATGCCTAGCTTCCCCTGGGTTGTGGGTTACACTGCACAGTTGGCATCTCATCAGTTAGTGAGAGGCAGCAGTGTGCATGGTCAGAGGCAAACATATAGGTACCTGAGGAATTTTTACAGTGAACATTCAGGCAAGGAGTTAATATACATGTCTACAAGGTCAAACAGCAGCCAAGCTGGGGTTTTGCAAATGCCAGTGGCATCTAAACATTGATTTAGGTGCCTAAGTCCATTTGTGAATCTGGCTCTGGTAGAACACCAGAGTAAGCAAGTTCCATGCTGAGGACCGCTTACAGCTAAGGCAGAGGGCTGTTAACTTAACTACTCAACTGATCTTCACTGTCTTCTCCATTAGAGAAGTTCTCTGAGGTAGCCAAGATCTAAACCATTTAGGACATTTACTATCTGTTGCATATAATTACATGTATTTCCCTTTTTGCCCCTCACAAGCAGGGGTTAGATTGGGCTAAGACTCACCAGGACAGTGACAAGGCCCAGATCCTCAACGTTATTTAGGTGCTTAACTCCCATAGGCACTAGGATCTATATTCCTTTGAGGGTTTGGGTCCAGATACTTTTTTCTGGTAGTTACTATCTCGTACTTTATGCATTTTGTAAAGTCTTTAGATCTTGTGTTTGCAATGATCACCTTCAGAATGGGACCCAAATGTAAGCCCGTGCTCAGTCTGCGTTTAATTCCATGAGGAGTCTGAGAACAGCATGGACTGTTGCTCCATCTAAATTGGTTGGTAAGTCATTTATTTGTACCTCTGGACCCCTTTCTCCATTCATCTGAAGAAATGGGTTGTGCCCACAAAAGTTCATGACACTACCTACATTTTTTGTTAGTCTCTAAGGTGCAGCAGGACCATTCGTTGTTTTTTTATAAACTAACTTTAATTCTCCAGATGCAAGAATGGAAATGGAGAGAAGGAGGATGTGGGTTAGTTTTCTTTTTTTCTTAAGTTATTCACAGCTGGTTCTGTTCTTAACCACCTCCCCTTTCCAGCTAAGGTTGGATAGGAGCCATTTCCTTTCCTCACAACCTACTTTAAAAAAAATCTTCTGTGGTGTAACTGAATGGCATAATCACAACATGTAATAAGAGGCTTGTTAGTACAATGGGGAAATGGGGTACTATTTAGAATGCGGAACTTTCCACATTTGTAGATGGAGGGAGGATTGAATATGAGTTGAGTAAAGAATGTCTGTTAGTAAACAACATGGATTCGATTGCATACACAAATATTATAGGGTATCCAATAATGCGCAGGAAGGGAGTGCACAGATCCTGGCATTTGTCTTCTCTTAACCCACGCGTCTGTGTATTTGGTGTGGGAGTCTGAGGGCGTTCATGAGAGGATGGTACAATGTGAAGGCTGTTATTTGTTACTCCTGCAATGATTCATGCATAGACAATGAGCTCTGGCTCACTCTATAGTTAATTCACTGGAGAGGAGGAGCACTGATCTCTTTTCAGGGCAGAGCACAGTAGACCCAGAAATGTGTATGGGCACCGCCACACCCCATCACTCCTGACTTTTGCTTATTACTGCTCATGTGTTGTGTCTGGGAATCACCTACACAACTCTAACCAACATTTGTGGAACACCATCCTTATTTACCCTTATTCTCCACATCATTCATGTGGCCTCCATCTGAATGATATAGGGGAGAGAAAGACAGAAATGTCTTCTCATTCTCTCCGTGATGTAGGACAGGTCTGAAGACAGAGGCCTAGGTGCCACTAGCCCAAAGCAAGTGGAAACAAAGCATTTTGTCTCTCCAGCACCATTGTTAAGTGAAAATAGGAGGCAGGAGTGAGTAGAGTTATAAGAATCTTCAATTCCTGCCCCACTTCTCCTGTACTCAGAAATGGGAGGCCATTTCACTTATATGGCATGCTATGGAACAGCGTTGTAGAAAAAGCCACTAAGCACAGCTTCCTTTGGCAGAATAATCTCCTGCACATTTTATTATACAACATGTATAGAGTATTGTAGCCATATCAGTGCCAGGAAGTTAGAGAGACAAGATGGGTGAGGTAATTTTTGTTTGTTTACCCAACTTCTGTTAGTGGGAGAGTGGAGCTTTTAAGCTTAGACATAGCTCTTCTTCCAGTCTGGGAAACATACTCAGAGTGCCATTGCTAAATTCAAGATGGAATAGACTGTATAGCATAAGTAGTTAACATACATTTTAAGGGACCATTCAAGATGAAGTGCCCTGTTAACAGCCCTCCTCTCATTGCAGGAACTAGAGGGGAAAGAAAGTGAGGAGGAAAAAAGGCACCCCAGGAAGGGAAGGGGTTGTTAGTGGCTAATAGATTGTTGTAATAATCCATAAATACAATGTTTGATTCAGTCCATGGCTTTTAGTGTCTAGCAAAGTTATGAATTTAAACTCCCAGGCTCGTCTCTTGAAGCTGTTGTGCAGGATCCCTTTGATAATGAGGCCGGAGAGGTCGGATGTAGCATGATTGTTCCCATGTTCCACAAGTAACGGGGTGTTTTTGTCTTTCATCATTTTTCAGTGTGAGTCCCCGCAGAGCACAACGATTGTCTGGTTTCACCCACATAGTTGTTATCGGGGCAGCTAGTGCCCTGGAAGAGGTACCAGATATCGTAATGGGCATGTGTGGGGCCCTGGACCCTGAACCATGTGTTGTGGGGAGTATTCATCATCGTAGCAGTGAAACTGCACTAAAGGTTTTGCACTTGTTCTGGTAGAGTCTGGTGCTGCATTGAGCTGAAGAGCTACAGTTTTATACGTGAATCCGATTTCATCTAACAATGATCCCAACAGCAGCAGCTTTACGATCAGCCAACCTCCTCCTCATAGGCCATGTACTACACTAACACAAGAAAATGGTCTCAGAGATATTTAAACCGACCTACAGGAGATGCTCTCAGCCTCCACTGACCTAACAACTGGAAGCTATGATTCTGTTCCATATTTGAGTGCATCTTATCTCTGTGAGTTGCAATGAGTGTTGGGTAAGGTGCATGTCATTGAGACAGCCTAGTTGGCACGTATTGATGGTTAAATGTAGGGCTGTCTAAAATACTTGTCTTTACCATACTGTACATTTAACACATTAAACTTTCTATAGAATGTCAGGCTTAAGTTATTTCCCATGCTTTGAAACCTTCTTCAATAAAATTTGAGATTCAGTGTCATACAGTTTACTTAGTATCGTACTAAGATTTTAAAGGGAGAGGTAGAGCTATACAATTTCTTGGAACAGTTTGTTGTAAGTCATGTCATTGCCTGTTGCTAATGCATTTTTTAGGCATTGCCAGAAATAACATTGGGAACGAGGATTAGTTGGCCACTCTAAGACAGAGCTGCTGCACAGCCTCTTCCTCAGCCGAAGGTACCTAGACTTCTTCAGAGTTTTCTCAAGAAATATTAAGATAATCACGTCCATTTTTTCATCCATAAGCCTCTGATGGGCCATGTAAAATGCGGTCTTAAAGTTACCATTTGTTATGTACTTGTTAGTCAGCACAAATATGGTTTTCCTGCTTAGTTGTATGCTCTGGGAAAGGTTGTCCAAAACTGGCTGCCCTGGCAACCAATCTCTTTCTTCCAAACACAAATTGAATTGTTTATCGTTTTGGTGTTCCAGATTTTCAACTAATTCTTTCAAGACCCATTCAGCTACAGCTGGGTCTTTGTTATCATAGGAAATAAAAGCATCATAGCACATATCTGGTGAATGTAAACGCCGATAGCCTCTGAACTTGGCAGTGCAGAAATGGTAACTGTACCACACATCCCAGAAATAGAGGTGACTTGTTACTGTGAACACCATCAGACACAGGATGGCCGATGCGGACACGGAGTACAGGATCACATGGGAGGAGTCCAATTCGCAGGTATACAGATCCAAGAAAATCACACTCTTACCTTTATGTGCTCCTGGCCCTGCACAGGTCACATCAGTGGCCAGCAGAGGAATCGTAACCTCAGTCTGGTTGATCCACCAAACAAACCACACAGCATCACAAATGCACTTGAAAGGGTTGCCATTTAAAAGTAACCTCTCCAGATGGCCGATGATATTCTCTGGGAAGCTAGATTTCTTAATGATTTGGATTTTGTTGGAGCTGAGGTCCAAGTATTTTAACTGGAAAGCATCTCTAAGAAAGTACTTAGTCAGCCGGCGGATCCTATTGTTTTGTAGTATCAGTTTGTTGAGGGTTGCTGAGCAATTGGAAAGCACCCGTGGGACGGTACTCAGAAAGTTGTTGCTAAGATCCAAGGTTTCCAAATGCTCCAAAAAGTGGAGTTTCCCCCAGTTGAAAGACATCAGCTTGTTGTTGGTTAAGATGAGTATCTTGAGCCTTGGAGGCATACCTTCAAAGACACCAGGAGGCAAAAAACTCAGAGAGTTGTAGGAAATGTCCAGTTGCACTAGGTTGGTTAGATTCTTGAAAAATGACAAGTATCTAGTATCCCCATCCCTCCATAACACATCTAAGTGATTTCCTTTGAATTCCAAAGTCTGAAGAGAATGACTTTCCATCCCTGGGTTAGTAGAGGTAGAAATTTCATTCCCGTTCATCATCAGCTTCTTCAGAAAGGTCAAATTCTTTGTAAAATCAAGCATGTGCGTAATACCTTCTGCCAGAAAATAATGTTTGTTATCACTCAGGTCTAGAATTTCCAAATGTTTCAGTTCCTGGAAGGCAGTTGAATATAGCAAATCAATCCGGTTGTTAGAAAAATCAAGATATTTCAGTCCAGACAGAGGTTGGAACTCACTTCCATTCAAAGTCTGGCTAATAGCATTACCTGACAAGTTGAGGCATTTGAGGAAATTGAGGTGCAGGAAATCAAAGGGGTTGATAAAGAATATGTTATTTCTGCTTAAATCCAGAGTTTCCCCATAACCGAGGCACTCCTCATTGACAAAAGGTTCGAAGGACTCAGACTCTTTGTCTTTAGACTTACAGCTTCGTCCATACTCATCATATCTGAAATAATGCATGTTCTGCAGCATTTGGCTTTTGTAGTGGTCTGCTGAAGCTGTGGGGACAGAACAAAAACCATGATAATTGAATTCACCTGAAGAAGGAGATATTTTATTTACTGAGAGGTCTATGATTTTTAGAGCTGGGAATTTTTTAAATATATTTAGGTTAGCAACTTTGATAAAATTAGTTCCTAGGTCCAAAACTGTCAAATTTCTAAGATGAAGTAATGGATTTAGGTGTTCTTGATTTAATTCTCTGAAGACATAACCCTTAATCCTCAGGATTTCCAGGTGTGTAAGAGATGAAAATGCTTTAGACAGGTTCAAAAATGAAGAATAGACCTGAAGTTCAAAATTAAAGGACAGATCCAGCTCCACAAGGTTGGGGATAAAGTTCAAAAAATGAGCTTCTCCAATTTCTTTGGCCAGGAAATTCTGAGAAAGGTCAAGCATTTTGAGATTCTTGGTGTTCTTAAACCAGCTACTGGGTACAGTTTGGAGGGAGTTACTGTGAAGGCGCAGAGTTTTTAATTGTTTTAAGGCATCAAAGGCCTTGTGATGGATCCAAATTGGGGCTTTATTTGGGCATGGAGTACATGGAAATGGGGCATTGTAACAACGAGGGCAATTGCCACTTAAATCAAGAATTTCCAAATTGTAAAGGTGATTTAAATCCTCCTCCTGAACTTTTTGAATCACATTATTGTAAAGGTACAGTTCCTTTAAACTGGATGACAAATTGTGTGGAATGTGAGTTAAATTATTGGCTTTCAGGGACAATACTGTTAACTTTCTTAAGTCCTGGAAGGCTGCTTCTTCAATTCCAAATGAAACATTGCATGGATTACGGTAATAGCAGTTCTGTCCAAGGTACAACATTTCTATGTTTCCAAGTTCTGACAAATTCTCTTTTGTGATGGAAAAAATGCTGTTTGCTTCAAGGCTCAGCAGGCGTAGATTAGGAGGAAGGCCCCGAGGTATTTCTGATAGTTGGTTTCCATCCAAGTACAATGACTCTAACTTTGTGAGAGTGGCAAAACTGCTGTTCTGGACTTGCAGTGGCTTGATGCACACACGGTCCTTTGGTCCCAGTCGAACAGGCACACAGTTGCACCTAAAATCAATCTCCACAAGACTCTCAAGATGGACAAAGGATGTTGGGTAAATATTTGGAATATGGTTAATAGTGAGAGTCAGATTGGTGGTGTTAAGAGGAATCCCGTGTGGGAGTTCAGTGAGGTGACGATCACTGCAGTCCACTATCACGTTGTTTTTTGAAGCTTCTACTTTCACATCACAGGGTAAACTTTTAGGAAACCATCTAGCAGACAGCAGCTTGGAGAACAGGAAGAGCAAGAGGAAGTGCAATCTGTTTGAGGGCCATGTGAGAAAAGCCTGAAAAGAAGGAAAGAAATACACATGGATTTAGCACAGCTGCAATATATAGGGACAATTATTTTTCTCTTTTAGCTATTAAATATTGGATCCCAAAATTTTCTATTCAAAAAGCACTAAAGATAATTAAAGAACATACACAAAAGTGATGTGAAAATAAAATTGAATGAAAATGCCTGGGAATTCACTTGGGTTAATCTCCATTTCCATGCAAAGGTACATTATACTCATGTAGGTCCAGAGACTTAGTAGGCGGCAAATCACATCACTGCATGCAAGCCAGCTGTGCAGTAACTGGCCATTTGTACAGCTTACCACACATTCAAGGTTCTGTGGAGCGCTTTGTTCTACTGCTGCACACTACTGAGCTTTCAGTGTGTGGTAGCAGGATCGGGGCTGGCCTTAAGGAAAATGGTTTCCTGAGCAAACTTGCATTTTGGTGCCCCTGTCCCCTCCCCCACCCTGGGCATGATGCCCCCTCATTTCCCTTGGAAACTGCTCGGTCCCTTGCTCCCTTGAGTGCTGGTCTATTGTCTCCCCCCTCCTCCCTCTTGCAAAGGGAGTTGTCACGGTCCTTCTTGACCAAGCCCTTCCTTTAAGAGCTACATGGAGAATGGATTATTTTAGATTAAATATCTTTCCCCAGATATGACACACAGAAGTCAGGCATCCCTCTTGCAAAGGGAGTTGTCACGGTCCTTCTTGACCAAGCCCTTCCTTTAAGAGCTACATGGAGAATGGATTATTTTAGATTAAATATCTTTCCCGAGATATGACACACAGAAGTCAGGCTGCTGTTTTTGAATGGCATCAGACTGTGGAATGAAACAGTGGGTTAAAAAAACCCGGGTGGGACACTTGCCCTTCAGTTTCCCTGGGCACTGCTCTGCTGTCTAGAGGGGGATGGGAATTGCAGGTGTGACTCACTGAGACTGACTGCAGCCCATCAGTCTGAGTCTGAGAAGGAGTGTGATGAAGTGACACTTTTTGCCCAGGAAGCCCAACAAAGGAGGAAGCAGGGCTGCCTGCAGACAGGGAACAGGCTGCAGAGGATGTGGGTTTATTCTGAGGGTACGTCTAAACTACATGTCTCTGTCGGCAGAGGCATGTAGATTTGTTTTTTTGGCAAAGGCAAATGAAGTGGCGATTTAAATGATCGCGGCTTCATTTACATTTACATGGCTGCCACGCTGAGCCGACAAACAGCTGATCAGCTGTTTGTCGGCTTGTGCCTTAGTCTGGACGTTCCCCCTGTCGACATCAAAGCCCTTTGTCGGCAGCCCCATTATTCCTCGTGGAATGAGGTTTACCGGAGCTGCCGACAAAGGGCTTTGATGTCGACAGGGGGAACATCCAGACTAGCACGCGAGCCGACAAACAGCTGATCAGCTGTTTGTCAGCTCAGCGCGGCAGCCATGTAAATGTAAATGAAGCCGCGATCATTTAAATCGTGGCTTCATTTGCCTTTGCCTATCTGTCTAATCTACATGCCTCTGCCGACAGAGGCATGTAGTCTAGACACAGCCTGAGAGGGCTCGGAGCTGGATGGAGGAACAGGGCCCAGAGCCTTGAACTCTTTACATCTCCACTTCATCATAAAAAAATTATTGGACCTCCCTCCATAATTTCCCAATAACTGTGAAAATTATAAAAAGATGAAAAGCTTAAAACATTACACTATGTTTTATAACTTTGAGTGCATTCCACCAAGCCTTTTTATAAGCCAGAGCAGCAGGGGTGAAGCATTGCACAGGAGATTCGGGGACAGGAAAGAGCCTATATTGCCCCAAGTTCTTCTGAGTTTAAGTGCCTCATTGAAACTGCAAGTCACAACAATCACACCTTATCTTCAGATTCTAACATTAGGAACCTGAGTGACTTCCAGAGCATGAAGAAGGTTTGCAGGTTAAGATGGGAGCAAAGAAAATATCCTTATTCTTAATCTTGATGCAAAAACAACACAGTGCCCAACAAACAGCTTTGACAAAGCTCTCTGCCCTGAGAAACTTCAGCATACTGTTAAGTACAACGTGTGGTGAAAGCAAAACAAAACCTGAGGTTGTGGGTAGTGATCACGAGTTGAATGAAAGGTATGTGTTTCAGCCAGCCAGCCAGACACCATCCGCTGTGACCCATTCCCTCTCCCTTTAGTAGGGGGCACATGGGAGAGCTGATTTCAGTAACACTCACTATCTCCTATGCACCCACCCACCTGTCTCACATTGGGGGAGCAGCAGCAGCAGCAGCCCCCCCACCAACCCCCAAAAAGTAAACAAAACTTCTGAGCCAGCCAGGGAATCAGGAGGACCGGACCAACTGCTGAGGGGGGGCACAATTTAAAGGTCCCCCCCAACAACTCAAGTGTCATACTCCCCTCCCCAGCTAGTAGCCGAGCCCTCCCCCTCAGTTCCCATATGGAGCTCCTGTGGGGGAGAGGGGAAGAAAGGGAGGATGTGGACCCCAACCTGCTCCACACTAACACACATCCTGCTCCAAATCCCAGCCAGAACACAGAGAGAAGCTGCACACACACACACTGCTTCAATCCCCAGAAAACTCAGCAGCCCACTCCAAGCCTCTTCCAGCACAGCCTGCCCCAACCTCTAGGCACATGGCTTCTATAGGGAGCCCTCTGTCCCAGGGAGAAAGGGGAGCCCCCCTGGCACCCACCCTTCTTCCAGCACAGCCTGCCCCAACCTCTAGTCACATGGCTTCTATAGGGAGCCCTCTATCCCAGGGAGAAAGGGGAGCCCCTCTGGCACCCACCCTTTGGCTGCTCCCACCAGAGCAAAGGATTTACCTGAGACAGTGAGTGCCTCTGTTCTCCCGAACCCTGGCTGAACTGGCTGCGGTGCTTCCCTTCCTGCTTAGCTAGCTGGCCCCAGGTAAGGTCACTTGATGCTATTCATATGCACCCCCATCAGCACATTGCCCTGGGCAGCTGCCCTTCTCACCCAGGTCTAGGGCCAGCAGTGAGCAGGATCCACTCAACAATCTTTGTGTGCAGAAGGTTAGTGCACTACGTAGTCAGACCCTGGCTTGCCATACACTAAAGTCTCCATGTACTCAAATGGCAAATTTTCAAAACGACTAGTGACTTGGGCATCTAACTCGCAACATGTTAAAGGGGCCTGTTTTTCAGCAGGTAGGTGCTCAGCAACCTTTACATCAAACCTATACTATACTATACTATTGAACAAAATCATTATCTACTTTTGAAAATTCAGATCTGTAATTTAAGGCGTTGCTATAAAAATAATAGGTTAAAAAGGATCCAGCAAAGTTATAATTGTAAGTTGGCTGTGTGCCTTTAACAAATAATCATAGCTAAATAAGAAAGTCCAAACCCACAGTCATTTCAAGTCAGAGAATCTCCTAAAGTGAGCTCTGTTTTCACACCTGCCATTGTGATTTTGGCTACTCTTTTCATGTATAGTTGTATGGGGGGAAGGGGAGAAGAATGGGTAAATAACCTTTCTCAATAGATATTTCCTTCTTTTATGTTCTGTCACTGTTTTTTGGTTCAAGTAAAATTCTCTGCTGAAGTTGTCAATCACTTGAATTTCAATACAATTATAACCCTATTTACTGTGTTATTTTGAGACTAGTTTTTATCTGGAATTTTTTTAATTGATCAATACATTCCATGAACATTTTAAAAAATATTAAGAATTAAAATTTCTCCCTCATTACTTTGATGCATAAGAAATGGAGAACAAAACATTACACATAGTGCTTTTTAATGAATCATAATTGATTACTCAAGGGAATGTCTTGAGTAAATGTGGATGCTCAATTAAGCAGCTAATTACACTGAAAATCAGATGCTTAAACAGCTGCCACTAAGTATGTCCAAGTGTTTCTTCATTACTGTTTGAGCATGTGAACATCTTTTTGTTATTACAAGCCACCTGTTAGACTGAAAGTCTGTGAAAGTGCTGTTGTATACTAATTCAGACACAATTGGTAACACAGACATTTTAACTATTTAGGTCTTCATATTATATATGATATGCCCACTAAGTTGTTTCCCTGCTGCTCCCCTGCCCTGGTCATTTTGTATTTCTTTATTACCTAAAAGAGCCCCAGATATATACAAAGGAGTTGACAAGAATTTAAAGGAGACCAACAACAAGAAACAGATGGTTCAGAGCTCATATGACACTGCATTTCTGTTCTGAGATCAACAGTTGGTTTAAGAACTTCAGGAGATTTATTCTATCAACTTTCCAATATAAAGCTTCAGTACAAAAGTATGAACATAAAAAGTCATTTACCTGATCTACATAATGTCCTAGGAGTTTTATGTCAATGAGACAAATTTCATTTATTTTTACATAAGGTTAAGATCAGTTATCTAATTGCTCAACCTTTCCCATACCGTGACTCCATTTGACAATATAAAATAAATTTTTAAAAAAGCAAGCCAGAATCCTCCCACACTTACATCTAGCTACAGAGTAAGAGAAATTGGTTGCAACCCCCAGGCTGAGAACTCATGATTTAGATGAGAACAATGAATAATGGAATAATAAGGGTAGACAAATGGTAATCTGCAGAGGAGCAATTTTAAAAAATCACCCACACACCAACTCAATATTTTTCATTAATAAACAATGGAGATGGTGAAGGAAGAAGAAAAAAGGAGATGGAGGGAGGGTAGAAATAATTTTTAAAAATTAACTAGAAAATAGAAAGACTTTGAACAAGATTAAATTTTTTTTTAAAGTTGCAAGAGAAAAATTTCAATAATCCTATGTATCACTTCATTTTAAGGAGTTCCTTTAATAAATTCAACATAACCATTGGTAACTTTCATAAGGGATGAGTAAATGCATAAATGATATTTATTAGAATAATGAAAATTGCTACCAAAAAGGGTGAGCTACAAACAGCTGCTCCTCTACTGACAGCAGGGTCTTCTCCAGAACTATGGACAGGACACTTGAGGCTATGCCCAATCATGAGAGCTAGTAGAGATGCTCAAAGTCTGTAACACAGGGTTGCTAAGCAAGTAGTGCCTCGGGCTCAGTACTGCCTCTTTAAAATTTTAGGGTGTGTCTGCCACAGAGGTCACTCATTGTGTGGGAGTTTCTCCACAAACACTATTACAGGGGAAGATATGTCTAATGACAACCCATAATGGGTTGCATATCATGATGCCATCTATGGCTATGTCTACACTGGTGGCTTCTTGCTCAAGAACATCTTGCGCAAGGGTTCTTGTGCAAGAAGTCTTGCGCAAGAAAACGTCCACACTGCCATGTGCAAGCTGTGCTTTTGCGCAAGAGCGCCCATGGCTGTGTGGATGCTCTCTTGAGCAAGAAAGCTCTGATGGCCATTTTAGCCATAGGGCTTTCTTGTGCAAGAAATCCCTGCCGAAGCATCCACACTGCCTTCTTGTGCAAGAGCTCCTGCGCAAGAGGGCTTACACCTGATAAAAAAGAGCATAGCTCTTGCACAAGAAGCCCTCTCTTACCACGCCGTACTGTAAATTTCCTTGCGCAAAAGCGGGCGGGCAGTGTGGACGCTCCGGAGATTCTTGCGCAAGAAGCTGCGAATGTAGACATAGCCTAAATGTTTTGTTAGTCTTTAAGTACTACTAGACGTTTTGTTCTTTGCTATTTGATGGTCTTTATCTGCCACTTTTGACTATCCAGTCTTAGGTACTTTTCCGTTAAAAGCATTTTCGGAACAGAGCATCTAGATTGGCACGGACGCTTTTCTGCAAAAGCACTTTTTGCGGAAAAGCGTCCGTGCCAATCTAGATGGCTTTTCCGCAAAAAAGACCCGATCGCCATTTTCGCGATCGGGGCTTTTTTGCGGGAAACAAATCTGAGCTGTCTACACTGGCCCTTTTGCGCAAAAGGGACTTTTGCCTGAACGGGAGCAGAATAGTATTTCCGCAAGAAGCACTGATTTCTTACGGTAGGAAGTCAGTGCTTTTGTGGAAATTCAAGCGGCCAGTGTAGACAGCTGGCAAGTTTTTCTGGAAAAGCGGCTGATTTTCTGGAAAAACTGGCCAGTCTAGACACAGCCATTGACTATTTGTGTTTCCTTACAATCCAAATGGCTTCCCCCTTCATATTTTTTACCCACTTCCTCTTCTTGTTCCTCCTTCCTATTTTTCCTCTTCCACCTTCCCCCCCTTCCCTATTTATTTTGGTCCCGGACATCCAACACTCTGAAGAAGTGGGCTATGCCCACGGAAGCTCATGATACCATACATGTTTTGTTAGTCTTTAAAGTGCTACCAAACTATTTGTTGTTTTTTAAGTTTATCCTGTACAGACTAACTCAGCTACCCCCTGAAGCTTCAGAACCCATAGTGAGTAGCTCAAAGTCTCCTGGGAGTGGGAGTGGTGTATTTCAAGGGGATTAGCTGCCAGAGAGGTACCATCACATCTCAAGATGAAGAGAAAAACAGGACATATGGATGCCGGTTCTTCCCCATTCCCCAATAAAGACTAATGTATGTTTGTTGTCATTGAACTTTCAAGTCAAATTCAGGTTTGTAAAATCTTGCTGTAACAGAAATGCTGTTGGAGTCTGTGGTCACTGTGGACAACATAAACATTTTATTCAACCCTGTGCTTTGACACTTCTCAGAGTCCTGAGAGAAGAAGGGGTGTGTGTTGTGATTAATGTATTGGGTTGTGACTTAACTTAGCTGATTTTGGGTTTGATGCTGGGTGCGCAGGCCCACTGACAGGGGTAGCAAAGAGGGCAGTTGCCCAGAAATTTTGCAGCAGCTGGAGACCAGTTCCATTTAAATTGCCACTGAGCACTGTGCTGGGTGGTCTGTGTGACTCCGGGGATGGGGAGTGGAGTGCACAGTGCTCTGGATGGTGCAGAGGGCTAGCTGGCCTCACCTCCACCCTTTCTGCCTCAGACCCTGTCCCTTCTGGGACTGTGGCACCACCCCATCACCACCCCAAGAGCCTGTGCAAGCTGAGGGCTCCCTATAGGTACTTTTGAAGAAGCATATATGTGAGTTGAGGGAGGCTTTGTCATCTTGGGGGAGATTATTTTCTGCATATGTATACATTTTTTTCATATTCTAGTTATTGAATGTGTCGCTCTTTGGTATCTTAACAATTTAATCATTATTAAGATAGTAATGCTAATGCACTACATATTACGTTATGAATGACAGCATATGAAAATCATTGCACTTCAAGCTGTCTTCACTAACATCCCACTTAAAAACATTATGTCTCACCAGAGCTTTCTGGACCAAATTCTAAGACACAGTGTGACTTGTGAGGGTCTACACTGGCACCAATGATGCCATGATGCTGGGCTCACATGTAGAAATGACTTTGCCTAGTACTTTGCCCTGAGGCCTCACCCCTAATTATTTTTATTTAATTATTTGTCCACATCACAGACTGCTAAAATACAAACAAGAATAGTGTCTTTCCAAGTTCTTTGTAAAAAGAAAATGGAATTAACAATAATAATTTGTCAAAGTTTTCAGAATAAGAAAAACTGAAATTAAAAAGAGAAGCTACAGCCGGCATGTTGAATTTGCATGTTGTATTTGCAGTTGTTTTCTGCATGGCCAGTTTGTTGCTATTGTTGGAATCACAAAAAGTGCCTCTTTCTGCCTGATTAACATTTGATGAAGGGATCTACACTCTAGGAGCAAATGCCAGCATTTTATAGTATGCATTTTTATAATTTGACTTTGTGGTTGTCCATGATAATGTAAGGACCATTTATCACTTACATAAACACTATCAAATCCCATCTGCCTTATATTATTCATCAAATACTCAGAAACAATGTGCCGGAGATATTTTCTAAATGGATTTTAATTTCATACAGATTTTAAAGGCAAACTATAATTGAAGCATAGAAGGACAATAGCAATCCAAGGGATTGAAACATTCTGGAAGATATTTTTTAACATAGTACACAGTACTAAACTTGCTATAAATAGTAGGAGCAAATGTTATCTGTCCCCTGATTGGGGTTATTACACAATGCCAACTATAGTCATTATGACAAATTATGAAATTGGTGCTGGGAAGGGAAGGGAAGAGAAGAGGATACAGTCTGAAAAATCCCACTCTCACCCCACGTTGCAGTTCCCGTCCCACAGAGTTCTAAGAACATGCTTTGAATGGAAGCTGAACCTACCATTTTCTGTGTTCTTCCAAGAATTAGAGGTGATTTTCCCCTGGCGAAAACTGCAAATCAAATAGAGACCTAACAGTTTGAAAGAGCTGCTCACTGCTTCAACTCAGGTACAGAAGAAAGCCCAAAATGGCATAACTCACTGAGACAATAGAATAATGGTAGGATACTATTGTTTCTTCAGTCAAGATGAAACTTGAGAAATCAATAACATGTGAAACAGCTGCTGCTACTCACTTCCTCAAAGCTATATATTTAAATTAAACCTTTGAGACCTCATTTATTCCAGTCCACGCTCTACTACCTCATAAATATAGCACAGGATTTTACCTATATTATTTACCCCTTTCCCTAGAGTCCCACATTTGCACATGAAGAAGTCACAGATTTTTTATAGCAATTCACTATCAAGTTTCCCATGGTCCCGTATAACTTCCTTTTCCAATGGTCTACTTTATTTAAACACAGTCTCTCACTTTCTCATACCTTCAGGGGGTGATTGGCTATTCTACACCAAGAATCTCCTGAGAAGCCCAGCTGAGGAGCTATAGGTGACCACAGTGGGTGCACAATTCCAGAATACCTCAGAAGGGAAATTTACACAAAAACCCTAACTGGGTAGGGAGAAGAAGGTTGCTAGAAAGGAAAAACATCTATACAGATGACCCAGATAAGCAGAAGTTCAACTTCCTCCTCCTAAGATGGCAATGTTGTTAGAAGCAACATGAACAGAGAGCAGGAGCGGCTCTAGACAAGCTGCCAGCAACTGGCGCCCTAGGTGAAACGCGCGATCAGCGCCCCTGCCTCCAAAACCCTCAACGGCAGTTTATCTTGACTCCGTAGGCGACTGCCTAGGTTGCCTGTATTGACGGGCCACCACTGACAGAGAAGGGATCCTGACATTAAAATAGTTTAGAACTAGAAATTTAATTATGATTATTTAGGGTTAAATCTCTGCTATAAAAATCAAGGACTGGGCCGCTTTTTGAACACCAATGTACCTGAAGTTGTATAATACAGGCAGTCCCCGGGTTACGTACAAGATAGAGACTGTACGTTTGTTCTTAAGTTGAATCTGTATGTAAGTCGGAACTGGCATCCAGATTCAGCTGCTGCTGAAACTGACCAGCGGCTGACTACAGGAAGCCCGAGGCAGAGTTGCTCTGCCCCGGGCTTCCAGGGGTAGCCGTGTTAGTCTGAATCTGCAAAAGTGACAAGGAGTCCTGTGGCATCTTATAGACAAACAGATTTATTGGAGCATAAGCTTTCATGGGCAAAGACCCACTTTGTCAGCTGCACAAGAATTTCAATTCATAGGAAAGTTGCAGATAGGAGTCTATCACCACTTCAAAGGAAGTAACTGCAGAAGGCAGTAACCATCCCTGTGACCTAAGCCAGCCTTGTTCTTCAATTTATCCAAATGTGAGAAGGGACTGAAATCCTGTGCTCCCACAGACCAGGAGTCACAGTATCTTACAGGAGGAATTCAGTACCTCATGGGACCAGGCTATTTTGTGGATGGGTAGGGTGCAATGGATTTGGATTCAGAAAGCACAAACCCTTAAAGATTTGTTTTACTATATTAAAGAGAAATCTAAAGTACAAGAGGTTTGCAATATAAGGACCACAGCCTGCTGTCGTAATGGAGGCAAAACACAGTTCTGAGTGACTGAATTAACTACAGGCAGTCCCCGAGTTACGTGGATCCGACTTATGTCGGATCCTACGAACGGGGTTTGCTCCCCGTCTCCCTAGTCTGCTGAGACGGGGAGCAAAGCCTCTGAGGACGCCGGCAGCGGGACAGGCACGGCGCTTCTGGGCTGTCCGCTGCCCGCGAGCTCCGCGGCTTTGCTCCGCTTTGCTCCCCGTCTCCCTGGTCTGCTTGTCTTCAGCAGACCAGGGAGACGGGCAGCAAACCCCGTTCGTAACTGCAGATCCGACATAAGTCGGATCCGCGTAACTCGGGGACTGCCTGTAAGTAGACAATGTTCCCTAGCCTTAGAGGCTTATAATTTAATACAAAGTTAACATTAATCACTCAAAATAGACTGGTTCACATCTGGGGATTATTTTGGATTTTTAACTTTTTGCCTTGGTGGATGAACTCTGAAAGACTTTGTGTATAAGAAATATATTTTAAGGCTGGGGGCATTGAAGGAAGGTAACTAAGATGAGGGACTTTATACTTACACTAGTGCAAGCACCTAGCGTAGCTTCTGTTAGGATACTAATATGGCCCCCATTATCATGTATCTGAGCACTTTTAATGAATTTAAACTCACACCATTTTACAATAGTGGGGGAATGGTCCCACTATTGTGAAGAACTTTCCAGTCTTCTGCACTGCCTCAGTGAAATGGGCTAGTGAAAGGATCTGATTCCCTGCTCCCACTTCCTTTACCACAGGCCTTCTTGACCTCAAGCCCTCCCTTTCATTTCCCTGTGTGGCAGAGCCCTTGCAACCCCAACAAGGCTGGGCCCAGGATTCCTGGGAACTTGACTCCTAACCTTGTTTTGGTCAGCTAGGGCAGGGGCTAGGACGTCCCTACTCTGGCTTGTTCTCTTCACATTAAATGCTTCCCATACCCATTGATGGTTACATACAGTTCAAAGCAAATACCATTTATTAGGCATCAAATTTTAAAAAGAATAAGGAAAAATGGAAAAAGTTACGGAAAACACGGCACTCCACTCTGTGGCACAGAGACCTCACCAGCAGTGTCTCTGAAATGTCAGGACAGCTCACAGTCTGTTCTTGTAGGTGCCAGGCCAACTCCTCAGGTCCTGGCTGTGCTGCAGGTCAGACACTTGCTCCATCCCCAGCTCCACTTTCTGCTGTGCTGTCTCCAGTTCCCGGGCTGATTCTCTGGCTCCTCTGGCTCTGTGGCTGCCGCCCCACTTCCAGCATGGATCTGATGCTGGGCTGTGTCTCAGAGTCTCTGGCTGGCATGGCTCCCCTCCCTAGCTTAGCTCAGGCACCATGCTGTCTCCTTAACTCAGCCCCACTCAGTCTGACCCAGGCAAAAACCCAGCTCAACAAAGGAGCACCAAGGACAGAACTGTTCCCCAGACTCCTCACTCTCTCATTGGCCTGCCCACTCTGTCAATCGGGCTCACCTGGAGCGCTGACCTCTTCCTATTGATCCTGAGGGCTCTCAGTCTCAGGATCCTGATCTCTCAAACACCCTTCCCCTTCCTTTTGATACTAGCAGCTAACCAACCAATCCCACCTCTGAATTTTAGTAAGGGGCCAACAGTCCCCTTACATATGATTGAGAACTAAGGCATAGAGAGACTAAGGCCTACATCATTAAAGGGGTAAATCAATAGGAGTTAGAAGCCGAAATACTTTTGAGAATCTGAGTCCATGGTCACTCAAGAAGTCTGTGGCAGTTCAGGGAATTAAACTGTGGTTGTCTCCCATTCAAGACTAGCACCCTAACTACTCACCTCTGTAGTGTCCTCCAGGTGGCTCTGCATGTAAAAGGTGGGCAGGCAGCGTGTCTCAGGCCCAGCTCATGCCAGGTGCAGGACCAAACCCTGATGTGACTCTGCAATTTAAAACACAGTAGAAGCTGGGAAGCAGGCTCCCCAATTCCTACTGTATTTTAAATTGCAGAGTTGCAGCAGGGTTTGGTCCCAGTGCAAGCCGGGACTGAGCCAGCTGCCTTCCCCTATTAAATAATTGAGTACTCAATAAAAATTCTATCAGCCACTCAATTAGTAAAATAGCCGCATTTTAAATCCATAATGTGATTATAATAGTCTTTGTACAATGACTGTCTTGTGAGGTATCATTTGAAAATGTATAATGTGCTGATCATATCATAGTAAAATCCATGTAGCAACATTATGGATAAAGTGACAGAAGTGTGTTTCCCAGATAAGTCTGGGGAGTGGCTAAACAATTTTTCAAAGATAAAGGAAAAGCTGATGCCCCAGGTAGGTGTCAACAAAGCTGCTAGGCCTTCATCTGTCGAGTGGTCATTCTGTGGCAAGAAAGGGTGGCAGGGACAAAGAGCTGCATTTTAATAAAGAAACATGAGGTCTCTTTCTTTCATCAGACCCTTGTCTCTTCATTCTCACCTGGAAATGCCCCTGAAAGAGAGACTGAAACTATACCAAGGAGCAAACACATGGCCCCCTCCCTAGCCCACCTCATTCAAGACGACAAAGAAAACAGTCATTGGACTCTGAGGGAGAGGTCCTGACCTGAAGAGTTTGGTCAGGAATGCAGTTGGACACATACCCTGAGAAACTTTGCTTTACATCTAATATTCTTTGTTAAACTGGGCACTAGAAAACTTTATCTTAAAAAAAAAAAAACACAACAAGGAGTCCAGTGACACTTTAAAGATTAACACATTTATTAGGCTTTTAGGGCATAAGCTTTCGTGAGCAGCAACTCAGTTCCTCAGATGTGGACGAAAAAAGAAAACGGAAAAGGAAGGGATGCAGAGATGGGAATGTGATGTCAGTGCCAATTAAATCAGAGTGGATGTGGCTCATCTCCAACCGTGATGAGAAGGTGAGAGTACTTGAATGGGAAATTACCTACTGTAATGCGAGAACCATGACATTTGTCTGTTTAAAACTTATTTCAGTGTGTCACATTTGGATTCCAGCTCAGCAGTTTCCCCTGATAATGGCAACATGCAAATCAGAAATTGTGTGTCTAGGGAGGTTAAAGTGCCCCCTCCCCCCACTAGTTCTTGCGTCTTGTCATTCTTAATGTCAGATTTGTGTTCATTTGTTTTTTTGCATAGAGACAGTCCAGTTTGTCCAATGTACATAGCAGAGGGGCATAGTTAGCACAAATCACATCAGATGTGCATGTGAATAAACCTTTGATGGTGTAGCTGATGTGGTTAGGTTCTATGATGGTGTCACTGTAGTAGATGTGTAGACAGAGTTAGCAATGGGGTTTGTTACAGAGATAGATTCCTGGCAGAGTTGGAGTGATTATTTGATGGGCCTAAGTGGTGCAAAAGAATTAGAGTTATTACAAAGCTAAAGCAGGCGACCATATAATCGACTACTACTATCATTCTTAGCAACCATAATCTGTCAGCTCTGAATTTCTCTTCAGGCTTAGATTGCTCCCGAGGATCTCTGCTTCTGTTTTGTAGCTGTAGCCGTGGTCTGCACTAGGGAGTTATTTCCAAG